GGGGGGGTTCTGTGTTGCTCAGACCCGAGGGCAGGGCGGCGCAGGGCGCACCAGCCCCACCGTGCACTCACTGCCTCCTCCCTGCAGGGTTTGGGCCTCTCTTTCCCTGGAGGAGCTGGAGACTGACTCAAGTTGGCCAGGCTTGGGTAGATTCAGCCGCAGCCTGTTTTCCCCGCTCCTGTCACAGTCTGCAAGCCTGCGCCCAGGCCCCAGCCTGTTACAGTGGCATCAGTGGCCACAACCTAGCCAGAGACCTATGACCTACTCCCCTGCAGGCGTGGGTAAGGCCCAGCCCCTTGCTTTCTCCTTGAGCAGAGGCTATGCTTTGGAGTCTGGGGTGGCTCCCCCACCCGTCAGCTTCCTCCAACAATCTCCAAGTACCAGGGTTTGGTGTTGCTCTGGGGGAGTTAGTGGAGGGGCTTCTGAGTCCCACACAGAGACCATGGAGCCAGCCTCTCCACTTTGCCCTGAAACCCACCCCCTCTGGCAGCGAGAAAGAAGGGGAAGAAGCGTGACTTACCTTCCCGGGGGAGTGGGAAGAGAGGGACACGGCCCACTCTGAGCAATTAGAGGAGAGAGGAGGAAAAAAAATAGGAGGAAAAAAATAGCAACACGACCTCGAAGGCGACAAGTCCTTCTGGAAATAGTAAGTAAATAAATAAATAAATAAGGATCCACCCTCTCCCCCCTCCCCACCCTGCAAGGGGGGTGTGGGGGTGGGGCAAAGGAGCAGCACAAGGGCTTTTTAGTGTAACTGAGCATTAGAGAAATACGCACAGCTTCTATGTGAATTTAGGAGTTTGAAACTTTTGGAGGTTATTTATGTGAATGGCCCGAAGGCAAGCCCGTGAGTGGCTCTTGGGGGACCACGTGATGTCATTAAACCAAGTTTTATGGTGTAGGGAGAGCTGACAAACCCACAATATATTTACATCATATATAATCTTAACTGTCCAGCCACGCAGCTGCTGGTGAGGTTTAATGCTAGGACAGAGGGCCTGGCAGTTAGAGGGGATTACGGCGCTGGGGATGATGGTGAGAGAGGTTACATCTTCGCAAATGAATCCCAGGCGGACGCTGTAAGTTAATTTTCTCTCTCTCTGACCCTTTCTCCCGTTTACCTAATCCCCCCCTCCATGACAGAAGGCAGTTCCCACTCATTAAGGGGAGGGGAAGAAGGCCTCCCCAAGCCTCTCCAGGCTAGGGTGGAAGAAGAAGAGAAGAAGCCGCTGGGAGGTAGGAGGATGGGGGAGCTTGTCTCCCCAGACCAGCCCTCCACTCCCTGCCCCTCATTCCCTCCAGCTGCAAGTCAACTGGGATAAAGAGAGGCCTGGGTTCTTTAGAGCTTTGCCAGGTCTCCCTCACCCCCTCTCCCTCCTCAGTTTGGAAGAAATACAGCGGTAGACACATGGGTATTTGGTGTTTGCAGGAGCCTGTAAACTCTAGGCGCAAGCACAAAGTGCCTCTGGGGCCCCCTGGTCCAGGGAGGGGCCAGTTCAGTCCTTGGCCAGTGGCCCAGAGTCCAGGCAGGGCTGGCAGCTGGGGAGAGAGGCAGGGAAGCAGGGCTTTAGGACTTCTGAGCCCACAGGCTGACATCTGAAATGTCAGAAGCATCTTCAAGGTGGCTGGTTGAACCCAGGGGGCCCCAAAGCATTCTCTCTCTCCTCACCACCAGGCCTGGGTAGTCTGGGGCCTCAGTCTGTCTAGGGCCAGTGTGGTTTCATGCCTCCCTCTCCCTCTAGCTGTTGAGGTCTTTCGTGGCATCTCTAGTCCTTGCCTGAGGTAAAACTAGGCCCCGGAGGCCTAAAGATTCCTGCTGTGAGTGGAGTGTAAATGGGGGGGAGAGTGGAGGCAACATCTTGACTAGGCTGGCCAGGAAAACCCCCCAGCCCTGAGGAGAGCGGCCTCTGGAGGATGGAGCCATCAGGGCCCAATAGGGGCATGGCGCCCTGGGGCCAATCTCAGGCTGAGGCTCCCTTTAGATTTCTAGGAAGGAGCAGCAGAGGCCTCAGGCATGGGAGGCACGTGCCCTCCACACCTGCAGTGTGTACTCCTCCCAGCGCGTCCCCCAGAGCTAAGCCAGGAAAGCTACAACACACGAACTCAGGCTCCTTGAAGGGGCCGCCCGAATCCCGAGGGATTCTGAAGCAGGATGGAAGGCGGGCGTGCAGGGCGACTCTTCTAGGCCACAGGGAAGGGGAGCGTGCAGAGGGGCGAGCCAGGTCTGCGCCTTCCAGAGGGGGAGGGGCTGACTGTGTCCGGGCGCGAGGCGATCTGGGCACCCGTTTCGTGGAGAGCCGCGGTTGGGGGACGGGGAGAGGACGCGGTTAGCGGGCCGCTGCCGCCCGAGGGACGAGGAAGAGGCAGGCATCAAGCAGAGACGGAGAGCCCAGGCAGACCGGGAGCGTGAAGGACGACAGAGACCCAAAGACCCTGGGCGGGCGTCTGAGCAGACGGAGCCCACCCCTCGCTCCAGGTCTGCTGCCTGCGGGCGGGCGGAGCGGGGACGTGGAGGACCCTCCGGACTTCCCCTGGCGCCCCCCTCCCCTGCTCCTTCCCACCCTCCTCCCCACCCCTATATTTCCCGGGGAAGCGTTAGGATCCTAGAGGATTCTCCCCAGAGTCCTTGGAAAAGTTAACTCTCTGGGCCTCCCTTCCTCATTACCGGCCCCCCTCGACTCTCTCCTCCCCACCAGACTGTGATTTGAGGGTTTCTGGACACTTTCCATCCAGGCAACAGGGAAATGGGAGTCTCCCTTGGTCTCTAACTTGACTCTTCCCCTCCCTCCGGCTTCCCCAGGGCCCTAAGGAGAAAATCTAATGGTCTTTAACCAAGAATTTAGCCCGGGCCAAAGTCCCACACCCAGGCACGACTCGCTGCCGTCCGGACTCCTGGCCACTTCTCAGTCCTGTTCCCTTCCGCTCCGTGCAGACGGGTGTATGAGGGCGTTTCTGCTTTACAGACTTACACAGCGTCTCTTGAGGCTTCTATGACTTCCTCGTCCCCTTTTCTGCCATTTAAATATCACCCCCTCTTCCCACCCCGGTAAGATGTCCGTCCTCTCAAATAATTTGCCTCAGCCAGTTTTTTACTGTTTTTTGTTTGTTTTGTTTTGTTTTGTTTTTAGGACAAACACAAATGGAAGTAGGACAAATACAAACAGGCCCTGAGATTCTTGGTTTTCCCACCCCCTCCCCCGCACCCCAATTTCGGGTCTCTGTGGAGCGGGGGATGGGCTGTCAATCAGGTGCCAAGGTGCCCCAGCCAACCCGGAAAGCTTTTAATTTTGTTCCTAGGTCTTTAACC